CTTTTCGTCCCTCTCCCCCTCCCTCATTCTGCTGCGATCGCAACAGCGTCGCTGTGACCCTCCCCATCCCCATCCCCATCCCCATCCCCCTACCTCTCCATCCCTTCCCCTTCGCAGCAACGTCACAGCGACGCTGCTGCCCCTTCCCCCTCCCTCTCCCTCTTCATCCCTATGTGCCTTGATGCAATGATGTGTAAAATACATTATTTTTTTCATTTACTCTTTCTTCTAATTTTCGTTATGCGTAGACTCCGACGAACAGCTGGTACTGGTAGTCTGTTATGCGACGCTCTTGGGGTGTGTGGGTGTGGCGGATTGGCTGTTGTTGTTTTCTGTGGTTGGCGGATGATGTTTGCTGTTGTTGGTGGCGGATCTATTGTTGTGGTTGGCTGTTGCGGGCGGCGGATCTGTTGTTGTTGGGGGCTGTTACGGGCCGATTTGTTTTTGTTTGTGTGTCATGGTAGGTAGCGAAGGTCGGCGAATTGGGTTCAGTTTTCGTCCTGTCGTGTGTTCTGTGGCTGGTTAGTTTGTGTTCGTGTGGTGGCGATAAAATGACTGTGTGATGGTGTTGTAATGGGGCCGACGATATTGGTGGTGTTGTGCAGGGGGCGACGATGGCGGTTGTTGTTGGTGTTATTGTTGGAGGGTGGTTGTGACTGGGGCGGCAGGTATGGGATGATGTGTATTTGGTTGATCTGTGACCTGTGCCCAAGTATTGATGGTGTACTGGGATTGGGGGACGGGTTCGGCGGATTGGATGAAGTATCCATGACCAACCATTTGGTCGATCTGTGACCTGTGACCAAGTATTGGTGGTGTACTGAGATTGGGACTGTGACCTTAAAATTCGTTAATATGTGACTGAAAATATAACACGTGACCAACAAATATGGAATAATTTTTTTAAGTTGTGATCAATTAAAAATCTATAACCTCCATAAAAAAAAAATTTGTGACCTGTAATTTTTTTATCAGTGACCAATGAAATCAATTGTGAATGACTCAATTTTTTGATCCGTGACCTCGAAATAATCTGTGACCAATTAATTTAATAAGTTGTGACTGAAAATTAATTTTTTAACTACTTAATAAGATATATGTGATCTCGAAATTGGAGTGGTTATTGGAATTAAGCGGCGATGAAACGGTCGCCGGAATTAAGTGTGGCCGGAGAACAGTCGCCGGTCACCAGAGTATTCGTCGGAGTAGTGGGGGGTGGTGGAGATGGAGGTGAGGTGAGGTGAGGTGAGGTGAGGTGGGGTGGGGTGGGGTGGGGTGGGGTGGGGTAATTATATTATATTACAGTTAAATATTTAATTTAATATAATAATTGTGAAATACAATTAATTAACTCATGAAAAATCTGAATTTTTGCAATTCTAAACCTTGGGAGCCTGATTTTTGATTTTGGGATAGATAAAGTCTGAATTGTAAATTTTTCCCTAAATTCAAGCCTAAGATTCATGAACCAAGCCCACAAGGGTTTAAAGCCGCTATCTTTTTTCATTTCATCATCTTTTCTTTTTAATTTATTTTACATTAAAATCAAAATGTTTCCTTTAAAGATAATCACGGAATTTTTTATTATAGTAGTCAAATGAGCGAAAATCGTCTACTAGAGATCCAAGTGCATCCAAATGTAGTAAAAAAAATTAGACTTGCTACATTTCACATAAGTTGGGGATCCGAATGTAATTTTTCCGCAAGAGAAAAAAAAAAGGCTCGCTATGCTAAATATTTGTATTTGGTACTCTGCAATATGAATGCTTCCACTCATCAAACGCCGAAATGCTTGAGAATCATGTTGGAAGACATAAGGATCGTTCATGTTAGATCATCAAGAACTTATTAACCAAAAGCGGAAGCGTACCTGAATCAGACATGATTATCGCAATGAACAAGTCATGTGATTTTAGTCTTCCAGATCAACACGTTGTTCCTTCACTTCTCTCTGAAGATTGGAGTCAGAATAGAATGAACAGAACATGTGATCCGGGAACTATAACCTTATATTTATACTAATTGCCCATTGACCTAATTCGGCCCATCATGAAATTAGGAATAGGCCCGGTCTCTACACATATAAGTACATACTTTAATTAGATACTTTAAAACTCAAAATACCGAAACCTTATTAGATAACTTTAAACGGATTTAACCAAAATTGATAGCATTTAATTTAAGAGGAAATTACACTCACCCCTACTTTTAAATTACCATTTTCAAAAATCCTGAATCATGTTTCATATTACAAAAATCATGTTTTAATTAATAATTTAAAAACATTTTTTTATTTTTATTTTTATATCTATTTACAATAAATTAATTTATATATACTCCTCCCACCCCATCTATTCCAAACCCTAAAATCAATTAACCAATTACCTCTCCACTCTCAATTCCTCCTCCCATCTCTCTGCTCTATGCCGCCATCACCCCGGCTCTTCTTCCTCTCCTCTCCACCCTCTCGTCTTCACTCTTACCTGACTAGAGTTGTCAAGACGGACAGGCCGGTCGACCTGTGAAAACCGGCCCGGATCGACCCGAGACCGCGAGTCGACCCATGACCCGAGCAGGCGGTTCACGGGTCAAGGAGGTGCGACGCGGGCTTCGCGGGTTGCACCTTACGGGCCGCGGTTAACCCGCTAGCCCGTGAAAAAAAAAATTAATTTGAAAAAAAATGGAGAAGAGAGCCAACCTAGTTGGGATGTAATTAAATTATAATAAAAGTAGGTGCCAACCTAGTTGGGATGCATTTATACTATAAATATTTGATAATAGTAATTAGAAATGCATTTAGTTTTTATTTGTTTAAATTAAATTTAACTTTGCAAAGTTATAAATAATTCTATAACATTAAATTTGAATTCTATGTAAACATTTCTTGGAATAAATATAAATTTATCATTTTTTTCAATTTTTAGTTTACATTTAACAAAAAAAAATATTTTTTACTATAAATACGAAAAACTCTATATTTTTATACTTTTATTTATACAATAATACGGGCCAAATCGGAACAAACCGTGACCCGTATGGGCTTGACCCGGATGGGTAAGCGGGCGGGCTTGGGTTGTAGTACAAATTTTGTGGGCTGACCCGGAACCCGTTGCGGACGGGCTTTTTTTCACGCGGACCATTACCGGGCTCATATGTCGACTGGCGGACCCAGCCCGGACCACCCGGATTGACACCTCTATACCCGCCTCTTTCCCTAGGATTTCGAATATCCAACTAGCCAATTCTCTGTCGCCTATCCCTCTCTCTCTCCGCGACGCTGCTCTGTCTTCTTCCCTCTTCTTCTTGGACTCTGGCGCTGGCATCTATTGATATTAATGGTGGTGGGTCGCCGCCTATTTAACATCGGTGACGCACCGCTATATTTCTCACGATACTGTCGGCGCTGGGCTCACCCAGCACCTCGTGATGGACGACGATAGCTCACGACGTCTGGGTTCTCTAAGATCGACACCGCTGCAGCCGGTGGTGATTATCTCCACTCCCAACAGTCGTCTCTATCCCTCACTCATCTCGATCCGCCCGCTCAGATCCGATTTGAAATCCTTAATTTCTCATTCTTTCATCTATTACTGTCGCGGAGAGGGGGCGTATGTTGTTTTTGAAATGAGGTTTGTATGTTGTTTTTGTGTTGATGTTGGTGGCGTAGAGGGGGCGGTGGTGCCGTGGTTGTTGTAGCTGGTTGGATTTGGTGGTGGTGCTGTGTTAGTGGCGACAACGACCGCCACTACTTAGTTTGTGGATTGTGATTTGAGGCGGGTTGTGGTGGTAGATGACGGTGGATCTGGCGACAGTGAGGCATTGGTGATAGTGAGATGTTGGTGATGTTGTGGGTTGGGTATCGTGGGTGTGCGTGCTGCGGTGGTTTGTGTTTGACGGTGGCTATGTGCGGTGGTGGTGTTTGACAATGGCTTTGTGTGTTGGGGAGGGTATGGTCTTGGTTTTGAGATGTTGATGATGCCGTTGGTAGAGGTGGTGGCAAAGTGGTGGTTACAAATAATTTAGTTGTTTGTGACCACTAATTTGGTTGATTGGCGACCAATAACGATATGTGATCATTGAATTAGATAAAATGTCACCAATATATGATGTGTGACCTAAAAATTATTAATTTGTGACCAATAATTTGATAAATTGTGACCCAAATATAATTTATGCTCAATTAATGTGATGTCTGTGACTATAAATAAGTATTGCGACTTATAAATTTTGTGATCTATGATCGATGAACAAGTTGTGACTTTTAAAATTTTAAGTTGTGACTGATAAGCAAATTATGACTTATGAAAATTTTGAATTGTGATCTAAAAATTTTCGTCGGAGTTGAAACACTTGCCGGAATCGGAGCAATCGCCAAAACAAAGTGACGACAGAACGGTCATCGGAATCGGAGCAGTCATCGAAAATGTCACCGAAGATGAGTTGTGGAATAGTCCCTGCAGCGGTAGGGGCGGTGGAAGTGGCATGGGGTGAAATAATTATATTATATTAGAATTAAATTTTTAATAATAAATTGATTTAATAATTCATTATTTCATAAATAAAAAATTAAAAAACCTTATTTGTGAAATTTGAAACTTGTTTTTGTATTTGTGAAATGGTGTAAAGTAAATACCTTATAAATGTATTGTTCTCTTAATTTAATACACAATATTTCACATATAAACCCACATGTTCGATTAAAATCCTTACAAATCATTGTAACATATATCCAACATGTACAGAGTACAATTAACCTTTCACTTTCTATATACATCATAAATAGTTTGGCACTCACCTATGGAGGATAAATACTTTGGTATCTATACAAGAGCAACTCCATGGTATTTGCTGCATTAAGGGCATGCTTGCTGCTAATGTATTAGACAATACTCGACACAACTCATAAAATTTTAACTATTTTTCTTCCTCAAGCCTGTCGAGTTCAGCTTCTTAAACATGCCTTCAGTAACTTGTAATCCCACAGAAGGGAAAAGGAAAATTCAAATTCCAAGATCAAATGACGGAAAGCCCGGAATATCGAGATTCTGAGCCATAGGTTCAGTCCTCACTTGATTCTGCATGGAGCACTCTGATTTGTGTCTGAGTTGTTTGGTAGCTTGTTCCTCAAGTGCATCAAGATCGATATCTTCAAAAAATCGATCGTCTTCAAATATATCTAGGTTTTCTTCAGTTTTTTCTTCCGTTCTTGCACGTGAGGGTGAATTATTTTGTGCAGCTTCAGAATGTAACAAGAACTCATTATCTAAGTTGACCATTGGTATCGATTGAGCTCGGTCAAAGCTCAATTTCCTTTTCTGATTCTCTGCCATGTTCTCATTTTCAGTAGTATCTAACCTAGTTTGAAGAGAATGATTTTGTGTTCCTATCAAGCTGGCACTTTTGTCTGTCCTAATACTTGGAACTGTGGAATCAGGACTAATATAAGTCGACGAGTTGGGCAATCTCTCCATGGGTGATTGACTGAGTAAGGATCGCCTGAAATAAAAAACGAAAAACAAAGAAAAAGAAAAAATATTTCAAATTCAAACTGAAAGAATACAAGGCTTAGTTCCATGATAAAATTACGGAAATATCAACAGCAGCTATATGGGTGCTTAAGCATATATTTGTACCCAATTTTCCAACTAAACTGGCTTAAAGTGAAGGTATAAAAAGTAAATAATTTAGATATTAAATATACAGTCATATGAGTGCCTAAATGACCTGCACAATTCTTAGAAGTCAAATTCAATTGTTACATTAAGTAGTATAAGGTCTTCTCTGTAATATTCACTCAAAATGCAGCTTCAGACACAACATTGCTTCCCTCTAGGAGAACTCACCTTCCACTCTCAAGAAAAAATTAAAAAAGAAAACATAGAGCAAAGAGAACGATAAAATGAAAGCCAACTCAGAAATTTGATAGGAAACTGAAAATCATCAATGGAAGAATAGATAGAAGAACAGAATATGTAAATAATTGAACAAATAAACAAAAACCTGTAAATTGCCATCATGTCGATTCTGCCCACTTCAACTTCAGTACTTGCAGCTGTAGAATTTACGCAGTCATCTATGAAACTATCATCATATGTACTGTTAGCCTCATCTTCCTCATCTTCAGATGCCATAACTTCTGAAGATACCCTGAGAATGAATGAGCATAAACTGTTAGCAAGCTGGGTTTAATTTCAGAATTGATCGATTGAATGATGAATGGGATTCTTTTAGCGCTAAACAAGAATAAAAACTAATGGTTCATGGATCATTTTTAGCTAGTTTCTTCCATCCATGGTATAATGCTAAGCAACTAAAAAAGATAAAAGAGAGAGGGGCAGGACAGGAAAGGAGGAGATTTCGAGAAGTTAATGAAATAGTTAGAAGAAGGTGATTGGCACCAATAAGAAATCAAATGTAATTAGTGGCGATGATTAGAGTTTGATACATAAAAGCTTTATTGAGTACGTGAAATATAATAACAAATAAATAAAGTTTTTCCCTTTTTACTTGAGTCTGCTACATGAATCCCTTTTGGCACTTTGTTTGAGTTGCCACTACATCTAGCGACAGTTCCAACAATTAAATGTTTTGCACTTGCTTTAGGCTACGTTAATTTTGGCTCATGTCTCCCTCTTCTAACTTGTTCTATTAGGATCACATTGCTCTTATGAATGGGAGGTCCTTTCGATCAATGTGCAGATTGCTTATAATCAAGCTATCACTTAACATCAATTAGTGCTACCTCCATTGTAGTATATGATAATCTGCTGTTTTATCCATTCCAGTATGATGTTGCATCACTTGTTCATTTCGTCCAATTTTGCACATAATTGACAAATCCATATTATATACACAGAAGATAGCAGATTCAACATGAACATGTATTCTTTTCTTTCAAGAAAAAAGAATCAGATGGAGACGGCGATAAGTTGTACCCAAACAAGTTGTATATCAGGAGGTTTCCGATTTGATAAATCTAGATGAATAAGAGCCCTAGTTCCAAAACAGTCTAGAGAGTGTGACAGCGATAAGTGTACCTAAACAAGTTTAAATATTTTTAGTAGCATTCATTTTGTGACACTTAGTGTGCTGAAGTAGTTTGACACACAAGAACTGAAAGTAAAAAGAGCAAATCAGGGTTACTTTGAAATTGGAAAGTGAGAAGAGTTAAGCCCATTGACACTTGTGTTTTGTATTGGAAGTTATGTTGTTGATAAGACTACTATTCAAGAGTGTTTTTTTATTTTTCAGTCTACTTGTTCTGAACATTTAGTCACTATCCAGTTCAAGATATGGGAACAAAAATTTTCATATATCCTTCAACTTTCATTATCCAAGCAAGGACTTACTCAGCTTCCTCTTCAATATAGACTGTTGCGCCTTTTGCTAGCCTTTTCTGACCTGAATGAAACAAATAAAGAAAGAAACATTTCACTTAGAATATTGGTTCACTTTCAAATGAATTCCGGTCCGTAGGTTAAAATATACCAGTTAGAATATCATTTCAAAATCACAGTAGATATCCTACCTTTTAAGGGAAGATTCCTAAGAGAAAAATACCCATGCGACAGTGAAACGAAACAGATGAAAAACATGAAAAGTACAAGACAATCAATCTTTTACCTCTGACATGCTTAACTGCAGCATGACCGTCATTGACAGAAGAATTTTTCAGTCTCTCAATAAGTCCACTCTGTTCCTTGCGTTCTGAAGGCATTTTCTGATGGAGATCTCCATGTTTGCGTAACCTTCTAAACTTACATGGCTGCTCAACACTTTCACACTTGCCTTCAGAACTTAGAGCCCAGTCTTTACTACTGCTTGTGTTCGACAGTTTTGCAATAGGAGTTTGGGTTTCTTTGACCACGGGAAATGGCGATTGGCATGATTTTGGTGTGTGGTTTTTCAAATGTAGTGGTGATGTTCCAAGTTCACTGTGAGGTGAGGTCAGGACTTCCATTTGATTCACATTGCCATCACCATCCACCTTTTGTGGAGACTTCATTAAAAAAACAGAACGCATGTTTGGGGACGAGACAAAATCCGGAATCATGAAGCCAACTCCTTTACCCTTTGATATCCCTGTAAAAAAAATGAACTCTTCACATATAAATATGATACAGAAATTTGGACATGGAAATTTCTTTAATGATGAAGTTTCAAGAAAAGAAACAGACTGGAATCACTTATAGGAGACTCCGGAACAACCCCGCTCTTGATAAAATTAGTTAGTCGTGGACTGAGCTCAGAATCCCTCAAATCGTTGTTCTCTTCATCATCTAAGTCCATTGATACTCTATTACGCTCCACTTTAGGATCTTTATCATAGCTATCCTTTTCATTTGACTTTCTGCTAGATGGCAAAGAATTCTCAGCTTCTGTTAATCCTGTCTGTGGTATGGAAATACCTTTAGCTAGCACGGTTTTTTCTTTAAAATCTTTAGTTGAAGCCTCAAAGCCAGAAGAATCTTGCATCAGATTGCTTACAAATTCCATTTTGCCACCAATTGTAGACTTGGAATGAGATATCAGAGGAAGTTGTGACAGAGATAAAACCAGGACCCGTCCAAGATCATCAACAGAGACAAATTCTGAATCAAACAGGAAAGAATGGGCAACAGAGTTCTTTCCATGGATATCCTGCATAGATATATCTTTGGTTCTTGAAATATCCACAAGTTCTGCATCAGTTTCTGGTAATTCTGTTTTCAACTCCTCTTCAGCAGAATAGCCAGGATTCTCTAAATATGAAACAAAATGTTAGTTATGCAGATTATCATGGCAGATGAAAATCAGTTGGCAAGTCTTATTGCACTCAAATGTATGACAGAGTCTTTAAAAGGCATAATCTGGCATTTGATTTGTTAGTTGCATTTTAAACTGCCTTAAAGATATTGAAAGGTTTAAGAATCAAAATTAATCCCAACAAAAGCATGTATTTAGATTCTTGACATCCATATCTAGCAACTAAAGTCTGTTTCTAATCAAATTGTCTCCCTTGGTTTGGAGTTCTACTGAAAGGAAAGAAACCCTTTGGCAGAGTAAAAGTGCAGTTGAAATCTACTTGAATATAACCAAAAAAAAAGAGTAAATATAATTCAGAAAATAACATCTGAAACCAAGCTTTCTGAGATTAAAACTTGTAAAAATTAGATGATCAAGTGATGGACCCATAACAATAGGTGAGGATTATAATAATTTCAAATTTTAGACAATAGGAAAAGTCTCTCGTGTATTTTCACAGACCTCCAAGTGCCATGGGAAAGGAAGTACTCAATTAGTTGTGTACTAAATGAGCCACTATGCCTATCGAGTTGTCACAAACACTCACCTTTAGTGTTTTTGTCATACAGTTCCTCAGCTTCTAATCTGAAACAGGGCTTTGAAAAGTCTTCATCCTGAACCATCGTAATAAGTCATGACATGCAAAAGATACCACACGTGCAGGAATCAACCAAAGCTAAAGAAAAAACCTCAGTCATTGAAGTTTTGCAGTCTGTGGAAAATGATAATCCCTGCAGATTTTGCATTGTATCTATAAGTATCCCCGTCATAGATGAATGTGCCACACTGCACACACTGCAGGGAAATGCCTGGAAATGAGGGAAGGCAATTAGTGATGGTCTCCAATCTTTCTCTCTGGTAGAGCAAAAGTACTTGTCAAGAATGTTTGTCTCTTCATCCGTTAATTTGGTTTTATATGCAGGTGTCTGAATAAGGTGATCATCTTTCACTTTCTTTGTGCGAGGAACAAATTGTTCGACTGAAATCTCAACCAGTTGAACTTCGGGCTTGAAAATATGGGGAACCTGCAGATACATAGTGCAATCAAGGTGTTAGCAACCATGAAATTAAATCGACCTCAATCAACTCAGCTGATAAAGCATACCATCCTTGGACTAGAATGGAAATTAAAGCTATTCATTCCACCATTGCTCATATGTTTCTTAATGGCCTTGCTGTTCACCTGCTTTCGCATGTAACCCTTCAATTCTGACCCTTCGCACGCCAAAACTAGTAAAAGCTTGTTGAGGAAATTAATAATTATCTATGAATTACTTGAACATCTATGAGTACGTTTGTTTTGTTGTTCTAAATAATATTTAATGCTTGCTAAATGCATGTGTAGATTAAATAAAGCATCAACCCCAAGAAAATGAATAATTAGGAAAGAGAAGGATATCCACACGTCCTTCGTGCTTCCTTCCAGTCCTCCCCATCCGCTGAATCATTCTCAAAGGAGAGACATTAGCATCAAAACATATCACAAGATCAACTTCCATGATATCTAAACCTTCTTCGCCAATTGACGTCGCAACAATTACATTGTAACCACCTGTGCGAAATTTCTATGCAGACAAGTCAAGTAAATAACTGCAAATTGCAAACACCTCAAAGAGCAAAATAATTACCTCTAATACAGCCTGTTGAACTTTTTGTGATTGTCCCTTCAATGTTTTGCCTGCAGATATCAATAACTAGAGTAGGTGACACAGTACTGTTAAGTTCAGTTCCTTGCCGCTAAATTTTCTTAAAAAAATTCTAATAGGATATCCTCGGGCAGAGGATCCTTCATCGTTGAAAAGTAAGTTGAATGAAAAACAAAATCATAAGCCTGTGAAGAGAGGAAGACTTGAAAGAAGGAATTGAACTATTTATCAACTTAGATGCATTAGATGAATACAAGATATGAATAAATATATTCACTAAGATGGCTATGGCATCAGCTTTCTCGTTTTTAGATAAAAAAAATAAGAATTAACAAGAACATTCAATAAGAAGAATTGTTGATAAAATATATTTTTTAATCAGTATGTATACCATTAATATTAGTCTTTTGTGATTGAATCCCAAGCACAATAAGATCAACACAATTGAATGAGGAATCCAACAAGAGAATCATTGTTGGAAGGCTATGTTGCTCCATTGTCAGTTGTTGTAAAAACTAAAAATCAGCAGCTTTAGTTCCCAAGCTAGACAGAAATGTCTACAAATTATAGAAAACTCCTTCGTGAAGACAAGTCCAATACAAACTTTTAACATAAATTGAATAAGGCATCATTGATTTACATCCATAATTAATTCAACCAGTCACCTATCAAGGTGAAATACAAAATAAAAAAAGCAACAGAAAAATTCTCGAACAATTATGCATATATACCTAGCAATGGGAGTATAATTACAAATGAAAAAGGGAATGAGGTTATGAACCTGAGCTCTGACCAATGAATTCAGTAGCTTTTACAATCTCCCTGATGTTTGTCAATGCATTCATAATGTCCCTAAAAATCATCATCGAAAAATTGGTTGTATTTGATTTTGGATCAACGTTTTATGTAAGATCATCAAAAATCATCTTTACCTGACACTTCCCCTAAAATTTGAAAATATAATGACCCGTGAGTTTCCTGGATTTTTCACCTCTGCAACAGAATTTACACTTGTCAAGTTCCGCATATCAAATCTAAATGCTGATTGAAGGTACCAAAAAGCAAATAACTCTTTCCCTTAGTTCTCATTCAATTAAAGAACATACTATCTCAACTTATGACATGTTATCACCATTTTGATTTTTGAGTTAGGTCACTGACTCACTTGCCAATGTGGGATGGGACTTGCACCAATACAGGAGTATGGTCCCCTAGACCTTCCTAGACGACTAGGCACTCTGGTGCAGATAGATAGACATAGTACCCTTAGTGTTAGAGGTCTTTAGTCTACTTTTAATTCTTTTTCTTTGCTTGGGAGGTAGTACCTCCTCATTTAGTGCTTTCTTTACGTTTGTTGCTTTCGGAGGTCAGGTTTATGTCCCTTCCCTTGCATTCTTGCGAGTTCCATTTATCTTATGGTAGAGGCACCCTAACCCCATCATCCTTCTTTGGTGGAGGCTAAAAGCCCACTGAGGATGTGTTGGTGATTTGCTTTGAAAAAAAAAATCACCATTTTGATTTAATGAATAGTCCTAGAAAAACTAAATAGTTCACTGTTGATAGATTTAATTAGGGCCTATAACTAATAACCTCAAGTTATGCTGATACTAGAAAGTTGTGAATGTTGAGAAGATCGAATAGCCAAATTAAAAAAAGAACAAGTTTCTTATAAACTGCACGATCTAACTTACTGAAGTCAACAAATGAAGTCTGCCAAATCAATAAGAATTATGTTCAGCAAGCAGTAAGAATCCTATGGAATTGAAGGATGTATTGTGTAACAGAAATAAGCTGACATGCTACTTACTGAAATGATCTATCAATACTTCAAGCATCTTTGCTAATTTGGGGCTAGGGGCACCATGGGATACAGTTTGATGCATCAACACTTTGGCTTTCGAAAGAAATTCATTTTTACTAACTACTTTTGCAAAATACCTGCAATAATAGAATTTGCATGAAAGTTAGGGTTTTTACAAACGAATTTAGCAAACAGATTCAGACTTCGAAGTAACTCTCATTTTAATATGATACTAAAGTAGCAGTGTTATTAAAGATCACTATGTTAACAGCAGAGATTTGCTAAATAATTTTTTGTTGAGATATTTGGATACATTTATTGGAACATGAAACCTCTCCAGGTAGAAAAGCTTCTTTAAATGTTGAATAGGGTCATACCCTTGTTTCATCTTGTCTTCAAGCATCTCGAAAGCAGGCTTTATTCCATGGCTAGAGAGCAACTTCCTTATATGGTAAAGTGTTATAAGAACTCCAAAACAGCCCTCCATTTCTCCAAATTTTGTTTGAGGCAGTTCTGGAGGCGGTTCTTGGCGAAATTTATCCCTTGAATTAAGTAAATCACATGGGCTTAACTGTCAATAATCAGCAACAAGTTTTAAGAGAAGAATAAGCATATGAACATGAAATAAAGGTCCTAATTTAGAAAATCAATAAAGATGCAAGCTGCAATGTACCCCCTTTAACCGCTTAAACATTTAATAAGGTGGTTAATATGGTATCAATGACTAGGCAAAAAGGCACGGGTTCAAGTCTTACTAGCACCCATTTCTAAAAAAATGTCAGATGTGATAGTCTTTTATGAAAATATGAATCCAGCCTGTAAGTCCCCTCTCAAATAACTTAAACTTATAGATAGAGTGGTTAACATGCATATTTAGAGTGAGTGTCAATTAGATAAATGAAGAAACCAAAGCTAGACATGGAAATTGCTAATGGGGAAGAGATAAAATCATGGAATGCATGATAAAGTTCTATTTGCAATTCAATTTGCAGTTCCTTTGAGTAATGGTAGTTTAATTACATCTCTAACCAAAAGAAGTAACACATGGACAGTAACGATTTTCATAATGTCCAATGACTCCAATCGAACATGTGCAATGAAAGATAGCAAAATCCCACACAATACGTCTTTTTCTTCAATCCCTGAAGTATACAGAGCACAGCATGCCAGCTAAATTACTAATTTTTTGAAGTCGTATATAAGCCATAACAGAAATTATGAACCCCATTTATCAGTCATTTATCAAAGACCAAATCTGGTGCAATAGTGTTTAAAGTTGTGAATAAATTACCACTAAGTAAAAAGAATTTGAGACCCGCTGGTGCCTTTCAATTCATCTGATGTTTTGATTGAGAGCAACATACATGTGAAAGAAATGTCTGAGAGTCCAAGTGGCAGCCAAAAATATGGACCAGGCAAAGAAAATTACTCACAGAATTGGTAAAATGAAGAAAGAAAATTAAATAATCCATCTTCAATTGTTTGATCCTATATGATTTTAGATAGTTGATTGACTCACAGAAAAAAAAAAAGGAATCTTCGATTGCATTTCACAGTATAAAACCAAAACTACTAGAGCAACAAATTAGATAAATGTCTATTACATTCAAAATTTGAGAGACGTCAGGAATAAAAACATACCGTCCGGAAGTCTCTCTTCTGAAGCAATCCAAAAGTAGAAAGCCGTGCAGCAAATGGACGCGCAACTTCCCCAAGCAAATTATATATTTCAGCAGCTTCTTTTCCCATAGGGACCTAACAAGATCAGTGACAATTTCATGAAAAATATTACATTTTCTAGTGTGAGTTCAGGAAAGAAAGAGTCCTAATACCTCCATCAGTTCAATCTTTCTCTCGTGCACATACGGGAGTACATCCGGATCATTTTCATTTCGATATTCAAGTGTGGATATTTGAAGGTTATCAATTATATTCTGGATCGTCTGATGTTTAGCTAAATAATGACCAACGCAAAATATAAAAGACGTGAAGGAGTTAGAATGTCAAATGTAAGCATGCTTGGTTGTTCTTATAAGTTTGCTTATAAGCCCACCCAAACATGCTGAGAAAACCAGACAACCGGAAAGAGTACTTACATCCTGGTGTTGCAGTCAATGCTAATATTCTTAGTTGCAGAGAAATATCCATCAACTGAAAAGTTTCCATCGATATTATCAGTTAAATTTTAAAATAACAGACTGAAATGGTCGTGACTACTAGTATATTCAAGACATGAGGAGCATGCTCCTAAGCAACCACGGATATCAAGAATTATAGCCACGGGTTTCTGCAGAACATGTAGTACACCATATCGTGGGTGTAGAGAAGAACAAATTAATAGAGAAGGACCACCATTATTTTGACAGTCCTCAGTCTCCCTCACTCCAAATCCACCATTCTCACCATTTTCCAAGAATGGCTAAAGACAGAGAAACAAAAATTGAAACAAATAACATGGGAAACCGAGCCTATAACTTGAGTAATTGAAATCTAGATGCCAAGTTGATCTGCTAATATTATGACTTAAAAGAAAGTTCAGAAGTAAATATTAAAAGCTCCCAGAACATGAGAAAAAAATTAGGTGGCAAACCTTCCGCACTACTACACAATAAGCATAATTTCCCATTGCACGATGAGCCTCATCAATCACTAAGCAAACCAGATGCTTCACCAAACATGAACCTGTAATGTTCAATCAAGAAAAATTCCATAACAAAGAAAATTACAAAGATTTGGACATGGTACATCAAAATCACTTAAGAATGATGTAAACATCAAACTGGTCTGAACCATGACCCTAGAAAAAAAATAGTCATTCCAAGCAAAAGATCCAAAAACAAAAAATTGTCCTCAGTCCCCTATTAAATACAAGTGACAGATAGAACCATCACGTGTTCTCTCACCAATGTCTTAAATATTAATGTATTTTTCAACTTTATTAATTATTAACGTTTGATGCAGAGTTAGGACGGCGTGGTATAAAGCTTAATTAAACCAGTTGATAGAAATGATAAAAACAAAAGATAACAGATTGTACTGAGAATGAGTTTTATTACATCGTAGTTGCAAAACCTGCTTCACATATAGACTTCTTTATCCAAGATAACCCTCATTTACCCCCAATATCCAAGGTGAACGTCTAAAAAGGCAACAAATAAAAGAAAGAAAACAAATAATAAAAGGGACACAACTTATATATCCCAAGATTTTATATAAAATTTGTAAATTATATTTTGTATATTATTTTTAAGAGTGCTTCCATAAAGTGACCACATGCTAGCTATGATACCTCTCTGAAGATGCAGAAGTGCTTCATCTGCATGAATGGACTGTTTTCTTGATACCAAGATTGTCGAGCACTTGGAATTCACAAAATTTTGTCGAAGGAATTGTTAAACCTTGTGTCAAGTTTCAAAAACAATATATTTATTTTGATAATTCTCATATGTTTCTATATATTTAGAAGATCAATGCGTTCAATAAAATGAAATGAGCCTTAAATCTAAAAGCAATAATATATTAGATTATTGTATGCTCTTCTATGAACATCATATACGTCATACTAAAGTTTCTTAAATTAAAATTCCCCTGATCTGTCTTCAAAAGGATAGGTTAATAAATTGAGAAACAAACCAGAATGTATATCCTTCTCCAGCACTTGTGGAGTAACAAAGAAAACTCGTTTGTCTTTCCATAAACTCGCTCTTCTTGTAGGACTCGTTTGACCTGTCAGATCAATGGTCCACTCCTGCAATCGTTGAATGAGAACCTCTTTAAAACAGGTAAACTCATGGAAACTTATCTACTTAGAACAATAGCAAGAAACACCTAGACCAAAGTAAACTATTGCTTACTTGCGGTATTCCTACAATTTTATGACAAGCTTCTATTTGCTGCATGACAAGTGGCCGAGAAGGAGCTGCAAAGACAATTTTTCCTGCCAAGTATGCAACAAGTAAAATTTAATATGCTACGATGAATCTTCTAATATAACTCCTTAACAAATTGAGGTAAACCAGCACCACCATCGAAGATCAGACATCATGCAGGATTACTTGACTAGTCGTTGCATACATATTAAGGGTTAGTGAAATTTTATATGCCTTTTAGTATAAACTTAAATTATGATTGGGACAAATGCCATAACTCCCAAAATCTCAACACTAGAAATTAATTACAGCCATCCCCAGTTTCTCTCCCATTATTTTAACTTTTTGTGATTTTACTTTAACAAGCTACTTTCACAAAAGAAAATTTATATTATGAACTAAATTTTGTCGTTAGAATAACAGTAAAACATTGTATAAATGTATTTCATGCAACAACAGCAAATTAGCCCTTACTCCCAATAAGTTCATGTCACATATGTGAAACCTTTACAGAACTAGTTCCGAGGTTTGCTTGGTTACAACGACACAAAGTGAGATGAGACAGAACTCAAATAATTATCATATGAGCTGATAAAGATCTATGAATTTAAACAATAAGACGGAATAAGAAGCAAAGAGGGTAAGAAGATAATATTACCTTCTGGAAACCACCTGAAATAATTATACATGACCACTGCAGCAATAAGAGTCTTCCCAAGTCCTGTTGGCAGTACAACTAAAGTGTTGGAGAATAGAGCAGTCCGGGTGATTGAGAACTGATAATCACGACGGGGGATATTTACTGTTAAGAAAAAAATTATCAACATCAAAATAAATATAAACCATATTAGCAAAAACTCACAACAGATATTAAAATATTATGTTCAGGGAGCTTAACAAAGTGGCAACCTTATCTTAATAAAAGATACCAATGTTAATATTAGATTTTATCTTTCCAAGCTCCAAATTATGAGCATAAAAAGAATCAATTTTTTTCCAATATTTTCAAGAAAACCTATCTTTTCAAAGGAATTACTTAAAACACAATACACTTCACAAGAATGACATTCAAAAGGACACAAAAAATATCCAAAAACTTTTAACAGCTCTTCATACAACAGTACATATTCTGCAGTCCCTTGGCTTCAATTTTTGTAAATTGTTGCCACATTTTCACTTTTCACCCAGAATGACGTCCCACATTTCTACTGACCCAACATAATATAAAAAGTTAAAAAGAAAAAGAAATTGACATACCAGAGAAAATTACAAAATTTTATTTGAAAAAACTATATTTAAAAAACCTGGGTAAATCCAAGTCTTGGCAGCCTCAGGATCTATCTGAACGCATCCGTTGAGCATCTCGATATCATAACACTCAGTAACACCCTTAATTTCATCGCCATTGTTATTTGAATTACTGTTATTTCCACGAAACCCATCTGTAAACTCCAATTTACTTGAGTTGTTCGATGGAATCACAACAAACTTATCTAACGTAGATTGCCTAGCTGCCGAAGAAGAACCAAACTTCAAGCTGGGTTTTCCGTTTCTAGAAATTTCTTGAACTGGGATTAAACTAATATTTGAATTAAATTTAAAATCTGAATTATAAGTTGAAGTGCATTTGCTAGTGCTAGTGACATTAGCGGTATTCTGGCACGCCATATCAATTTCTCTCACAGCTGCTTCCCAGTCAAATTCCTATACACATTAAAAAAAATAAAAATACATATATATACATATAACTGAGTTTGCATAATCAAAAAGGGAACTAATTAATTTCACTTACATCGTCATCGTCAATGATGTGGAGCGGAGTGGAAGTGGAGGCCATTGGAGTCTCTTGGAGTATCAGAAAGAGAATCTGCCGTCGACGAGTCGGATAAACGACGGCGGTGGCGGCAAAGTTTTAAAGAGCCCTTTTGAATTGGGGAAGAGAATGGGCAATTAGCGCGCGTGGCGCACAGCTTTTACACTTCCTTTCTGTTTGTTTTTTTTTTAAATTCAAACGGCCTATAAATAAATAAATAAATCAAGCTCCTCTCTAGTGTTAAATCATAACTTTTTTTTTTCTGGCATTCAGTTTTAAATTTTAATTACGCATTCACGTAATAAAATATTTTACACTTAAATTTAATTTGTTTTAATATTTAACCATATTTCTTTAAAAAAAATACTATTTCAAAACTAATTTTCTCGAGAAAAAAATCATTAAAATCATTGTCAAACAAGAGCGAGCTTTTAATCACGAATTTTATCATTTTTTATTGAAATATATTAAAATTTTGATTTTAATTTTCACCAAATATGGACTCGCTTTTAAATTACATTTCATTGAGTAACTTTTAAGTTTTAACTAATGGTTTGTTTGAACCCATTTTGTGATAAAATAGATTTTGTTTATGTTTGTCTCAAAACTCTTTAATTATCATACTCATTTTCAATTTAGTATTCACACAAAAAAATTATTTTACACGTAAATTCAAAGTTTTTCCTATTTTTTAATTATACATTCTTAAAAAATTATTATTAAAGACATAATGTTTTTATCAGCCACCAAACAAGAGTTTTTTAATAGTAATTTTTTAAAAGATGTATAGTTAAAGATAAAGAAAAATTTTGAATTTGCAAATAAAATATTTTCTTTAAAGAAATATACGTGATAAAAAATAAGTTGAAAAACTGATCTTTCGAAAAATAAAGCTCAAACACGGGCAAAATACATTAGGGTCCGTTTGATTGCAATAGTGGAAAATAGGTGGAAAGAAAATGAATTTTAGGGAAATAATTACCTAGAAATTATTTTGCAGTAAATTGTTAATTAAGTGTGTTTGACTGGTATAATTTTTCACCCGAAAAATTTTAAAATTTTATGTCCATTTGATTTTATTTTACATGAAAATTGTCCATTAAAGTGATAATTTTTTTCACAATTTGTTATAAAATTTGTTTCCATTGCCAAAAAGTTTTTAAAAAAATTGCTTCCTAAAAAATCATTTTTTTAATCAAAATTTAATATTCGTTTGACTTTATTTTATAGGAAATGGGCGCGTGAGGGGGTGGTGGAAAAATTTGCCAAGAAAATAATGGCAATCAAACAAGCCAAATGTGGGAAAATGGAATTTTTTTTCCAACTTGCCTAGAAAAAAAAAAGCATTTCAAACAGGGCCTTAGTATATTATAGTAAGCAGATTTTATCTAGTTACAACATTTTTTAAATTCAAACAATATCAAAAAAGTTTAATACATAAAGACTTAACTCTCCATTGTTTCTTTTAACTTTTTTTATTGTTTTAGAACAATAAAAAAGGATTCAAGTAGGCTGACCGTCTCTTAACATTTCTAGTTAGGTCTCGTCGTACTGTTCAATGATCGAGGCTCCCAAAACTTAAATGATCAGATTAAATTTATGATTCGTTTGGTATGACTTTTGTCTTTAGGAGAAAAATTACTTTAATTTTTGTTTCAAAATTAATTTTTAAAAGAGTTTTCTATTTTGAGAGTACTTTCAAATTAAGTCAGTCAAGTCAATTTTTTAAAAAGTTATTCTAACTAAAAAAATACTTTCATAAAATTAGTTAAAATGATTCAAAAGTAATTTTTGAATATAAAAACTCTTTTTAATTTCTCAAATGGAACAATACATAACTCCTAGTTTTAAAAATTATATTTCATAAATAACAAACTCATTAAAATATTTCAAAAATCAGGTGGTAACTAAATTTATTAAATATTAAAATGTAATATAATATACATTAATTATTTATATTCTATGCCACCTCACCTACCACATCCTATCACCCTACACACCACCTTCCTTCCACCTCTCCACCGGAAACGGCCATCAGCTCCGACAATCACTCCGGTGACTTTTCCGGCGGTTGCTCCGGTGACTCAAAGACTTCCAGAAAATTAAAACTTGAAAATCACACCCCCACCCCCATGGATCCACCTACCACCACATCATCCCTGCCTCCACCTCCTAAAAAATTACCGAAAAAAAAAATTATGTTCAGTGTGACTGCATGTGACTAATTGTGACTAAGTGTGTATTCAACGTGACTAACTGTGACTAAATTTGTGTTGAATGTGACTGTCGGTGACCAGGTCAATCTCAAGTCACAATCAATACAAAATCAGTTACAATCAAACAATTGGGCAATACCACCACCTCAACTAACCTTATCACCAACACAATCCCCACAACTCTAACTATTACTGAAACTCAAACAATTGGCAAGTCGCCATCCCCTCCTCCACTACTAACACCCTCATCATTCCACTTATAGATCAAACCCAAACTCAAACACACACCCAGCCAAACACAAACACAACCCTCGCCACCNCATGACGGTGCTACTCGCAGTAATGGCAAGCCTTATTGTGCCATTGTCCCGCTTGTTGTCGCCACGTGTGGTGTTTGCGCGGCACTGTCGAAAGGGAGCTGCTTACGTCACGGTGGTGGCGACGACAACATGGCTTCGATGGCAGTGGGAAGTGGTGGATGTGGTGTGTGGTTAATAGAGAAAGAGGGTAGAGTGAAGAAAGAGAAGATGCAGAGATTTAAGAGAGATGAATGAATTGGGGAAAGAGATGATACAGACATTGAAGAGAGAGAAATCAATTGGGAAAATAGATGATGCAGACATTGAAGAGAGATAAATGAATCGGGGAAAGATGTTAGACATTGAAATTTGGGGTGAGCCGTGGGGGTGGGGTGGATTGTTTGTATAATAAATATGTATTAACTAATTTATTAAATCTATATTAACACCTGATTAGTGAATTTTAAACTTCACCTTCCTTGTTTTTGAATTCTATATTTGAAATATAGGGTTTTAGGTAATTTTCTCTTTCTCAAAAGTCACGTCATGCATTGCGGGCCGTTCATGCGATAGCCCTTGAGGAATAGTAATTTTTTAAAAACATGTATGGTTAATTTTTTAAAAAAAAATTATATGTAATATTATTTTATTAAAATTAAATTTTAATTTAACACAGATGGACAGGTTCTAAAACGAGTTAAATGTTTCACTGATCACCAAACTTTGCCTTATGTCACGACATAGTCACCGACCTTTACAATGCTTTCCATTGGCCACTCAACTTTATGTTTGTGCACTCCATCACTCACCAAACAGGTTCTGTTTATCTCTTAGCCTACGTGGATGACAGAAATGATACGTGGCATTTAACTCCATCAATGAGACGCCAACGTCGAGGACAAGTCATAAAATTCTCACCAAACACGCCTCTAAATCCCTTGACCAAACCGTTCCCTCCTTGTAACATAACCAACCCAAACGAAATGAACTGAAAGAAAAATTCCCAATTGGAGACGAACCCTAAGCCCCAAATCGACACCCCCCTAAATCCGAACATGAAGTCGTGGTTGCCTGAAGAAGTTTAACAAGGTTGTACATCTTCTCCGGCCATCTATTGAAGTGGACATGAAGGGACCAAGGTTCTACATTTCTTTCGGTAGCAGATTAATTTGGAAGGTATATGCGCCCACTAAGAATGTTGCCAATGAATAAAAACTGAAAATTGATTGATTTTGTAAAGCGTCCAAAAAAAATTTCTGGGTGTTAGCAATGTTAATCTTTCTTTGTTTTGTATGTTTGAAAAAAACCTGAAATGTGCAGTGGGAGTATTATTTTCCCTTCAAACTGGGGGTTCCATGTTGCTTAATATGTTTACTGGGTGAAGTTTAGTTCTTTTCGAGTTTTGGATTTTGGACCTCTTCTCCTCCAGTTAAAGATCCAACTATATGCTATGTTATAGGAATATAATAATATGTATATCAGTTTAACGCGATTCATCTTGATATTTGGGTGATGGAGAGGAATGTAAAACTAGAGTGCGGAATTTAATTTTCTATTCATCATGCATAAGCAGCTCTCTATCCTTTTTTACTGTTGGTCATGTGAAAAAACATTTTCTGCTTTTCCAACTTGATTCCTGGTCAGTGAAGAGTTTAATTATGCTGACGACAGCTTATTCATGTACAACTTGATTCCTGGTCAGTGTGACAAAAGATTAACTTGCAGTTTTCTTCTTCGATAATTCTAAAGTTGACGACTGTTTCCGATTCAGAACCTTGCAAATCTGCCCGCACTATGTTAATTCTTTCTCTATAAAAACTTGTGTTTTTACAGATTTTTCGTGGCTGCAATGGTAGTTTTCATTGAAAACCCTAGCAATTGAAGGCCAGTCCAGTGGTGTTTGAAAGAACGTGAATCAAGATGTGTTTGCTTGCATAAATTTATGTTCAAGGATTCGATTGAAGATTTGTCTTGAATATTCAAAAAATTTGCTCAAATATCTTAACAAGAGGTTGTGGAGATATATTTCAATATAACTATCTGCAAGGGAAAAGGAAATCCTAGTTTAAGTTGAAGTAGTCATGGTCTGCCATTGTAATTTAAATTTGCACCAAATTTTGATTTGGTAATTCGGTGTATGTTTTGTTTTGTCAGTGGTTTCAATGATGCTTCGAATATTGTAGCAGGACACAAGCTTAGCTTGTTTGGCATAGTGTTTGATGTTTGGTAATTGGTCCCATCTCAGAGACAATACAACAGCATGACTCAGACCATCTTTAATACCAACAAACAGCCAGTCATTTCCATAAAACCAATTTTGCATAAATGGAAACAAAGAAAATGTGTAGAAAACAATTGTAGTTAATGTATAAACAGCAATTCAAAGAACGCTCTCAAACAAGCGCCATTTCACAAGCCGAGCACATAGCATCACGCAGCCCAGATGGTCTACCTTTTTTCTCATCCGCAACGCTCTCAATTCCCATGCGATACAGAAATATCAAGAATG